TTATGTTCGGTTAGCATCGAAAGGAATGTTGAATGGGTTTTCTACAAGACAGTGGGTTGATGGTTGAGTATCTTTAGATCTGGTAGTGCTGGTTGTGAGTCTTCAGGCTAGTAATAGAACGACGCCAAGAACGGCGTAGTACTGTGAGCGTAATGTTTTAGTGGTTAGAAGGTGTCACGATGTATCGAGAACCAGTGGCTATATGATTCTTGTGGGAAAGACCCGGTAGTCGTTTGGTTGAGACTCTTAGGTCTCAGATCGTTTGTCTTATTGGCGTGGTTGGATGACAGTGCATTGTTTTTCGGAGAAGGGAGACTTGGTGACCAGCTGGTTTAGATCATGTGGTCAAAAAAAGTTATTTAGGTTATACATTATTTGTGCACCGGAAGTCGCTTAATGAATGGTTCCTAGGATGGACCCCATCTTCTTGTGGGCTGTCTATTAGGAGTTTGGTTTCCAGTATGAGGAGTTGGTTCTGAATTCTTGAGTCACTAAGTTCATTGTAGATGTATTGAGTGATTTTTCAGGTGGAGGTACACATGAGCTGATGAGGGATTTTGATGCAGCGTGCGAATTCTTGGATTGACCATCCTTATGCCTGTGGGGGAAGCGGGTTGGTGATGACTTGTCAAGAAGTCAAGAGTATATTTAAAGTTTTTGGGCGGAATTGACGATCAGTGTGTTTTGAGTATTCTTTAAACATGTTTTGGTGGTGTCCCTAGTCAGTGATTAGGGGTAGGTTCGACAGAAGGACAATCATCAGTCTTAAGGTAAGGTTTCTGAAGAATAGACTGATGGGTTCCCAGTTTCGGGAAGTATAGTGATGAGGATGGTTTGTGGTTGTAGTTCTGAGAGTTCCCGGTTTATGTGGTTTTTTCTGGAAGTTGGGTTATTCAGTTAGAGAGGAAAATAAAAGTTGTTGGCATTAGTGGGTTTTTGAGTGGCCTCTCGATTTTTTTAATAAGATGCCTTGATTTTGAATTAGTTAGAGGGAGTTTATGGAATATGTTGGTGTTGTTTCAGAAATCGCAATTATTGTGATATGTCACTGGCTTAACTCCGTCTCTCTAAGGGTGGAAGTGAAGAGCCTGTGGATAACAACAAAGAAGATAAGACCGTCAGTCATTGTCTGGGAGGTTGTCCCGGAACGAGGCTTCGAAGATCAAGTCAGTGAGGGTTTGAGAGAGAGAGAGAGAGAGAGAGAGAGAGAGAGAGATGATTAAGAGCGTAAAGAGAGTGTTGAAGGGTGAAAGATCTTGGCCCATTCTCGTGGCTAGAAGGGCGCCTTTTATACCTATGGATAGGGGGACAGATCCCCGACAGTATCTTCTACCATTCCAGTTTTGGCAGGGGCTGATGGCTTTTGATTGGAGGATTGTGGTCCATGGGTGGTTGTTTGCTATTGGTGTAGACTCTGCCAGAAGCGGCATCCAGAGCATTACACATGTCGCTCTGGGGAACTCTTAGTACTATTTTGTCTTCAACGCTAATCTTGGCGCTTGGGCAAGAAGGAACGGATACGGGGTCTCGAAGGAGAGGGAGAAGGCCCGACGTTAGTCACGCACTGCTCCTTGGTCGATCCGTATGTCGAACTAGTGGCTCCGTTATCTTTCAAGGATTCCCGGTGGGATACGTCAACAAGTCCCCTAGGATAGTAGACATGATCGTTGGCTTAGGGTAGCTGAGTTGTTATAACTTGGATCTGGACATGCGTTCGGCGGGGATGGCTTTTGACGAATGCTGACATGACGAAGGTGTTTTCACAAACGGTTTTCATCATTGTAATGGGTTGGGCTTCCCGCCTGCATTTAAAACTTCCCCCATTTGATTCGAACTTCCTTTTCCTGGTTCTTTTCACTTCTACTACTTCTTTTCCCTTTCCTCTCCTGTTTCTACTTCTTCGACGAAACATGGCTGACTTGAATACTGGGATCGTTCCTTCTTCAGGCGAGTTCGCCGCTCTTTAAGAGCGGTTTGGTTTTCTTCCCGAGCACGGTGTGGAGTATCCTCGAAAGGGGGCGATAATTTCTTGTCCACCGGAGGGGAAGGTCGGGGTCCCATATCCGATCTTTGAGACCAGACTAAGGTTGCCGACGACGTATTTCTTTAACGAGATAATGCGCCAATATGGATTTCGTGTGGACGATCTGACTCCAAACGCCGTCACCAAGATTGTTGGCTTTGAACTCATCTATCGGGCCCTTGGAGTTCTGCCACAATTTTGGGCCTTTAAAGCTTTCTTCAATTCTTCTACGCAATCCGGTGTTCGGACCTTTTCACAAAGGCGGGGTGTTCATGCCTTCATCATCAACCAAAAAGCTCCGAAGAAGAACTGGCAGGATCGGTGGCTCTTGGAGAATTGTAATCTTGTGGGTTTTGGTTATCCTCGCTTGACTACTTTCTCCAATCGAGCGTCGTAACTGTTTGTGGCCAGCGCCACTGTGGCACAAGCACTGAAGACCATTTGTGTTAACGGAGAGGATTGGGAGGACCACATACTTGCTTCGGTTGGGATGACTGCTGCCTGGAGGGCCCGAGGGATGATTCCCCAGTTCTTCATCGAGAAAGACGGTAATCACTTCTCTTCCCCCCTCTTTTGATATACTATCGCTTATGCATTGTGTAAACTGTGTTTGGATTTTTCCTCGCTTGTAGGTCATGAGAGGATTCTTCCCTTTGAGATGGTATTGAGGGTCCATTTTCAGGGCACCCTACAATACTGGAAGGTTCCCTTGGTTGAGGCGCTTCCTCCGCCGGTCAGTCTTGACCGTGCTTTGGCTCTCGGCAGTCCCTCTGTCGTTTCTCCGTTTGGGTATGATTCTCCTGCTGGCCAGGTGCTGGTTGCGCACCTGTTGGCGGTGTTTCTCATGAAGACCCATTACCTTCTGATACTGAGGGGAAGAGCCGTCAACTGGGGGCTAATCCAGCATAGTACTCGCGCGGCCTCTAAGCGGCGGTTATCCTGGCTGGATTCGCCACAGGTGGAGCCTACCGAGGCCGGCTCCTCAGGGCAACGACTTCTGAAGAGGCGGATCATGGATATCCTTCTGGGGAAGACACGGTAGTTGTGGATATCCTCGATGATGACACTCTGAAACAGTCGGAGGGGATGAAAGAAGGGGCGACAGAACCACCCCGTGAACCTAAGGAAGAACCGGTGGATACTGTTGCCGAAAGCGCTTTTGGTATGGACCAGAAAGCCAATCATGAAGGTGCTCCCAACTCGTCAGTTCTGCTTTTGGCTGGGGGAGACCCTGCTGAGGGCTCTGTTCCTATTCCTCCGGCGGCACCGGCCGTGTATGTGCCCGGGTGGGGGATAACTCGGGAGTCTCTCCTTTCCCAGCACACGGTGGCATACGATTGGGGCCGTCATGCTTTTCCCCCGCCACTATTCAGGCCTTGGAGTTTCTCTCGAATGCTCATCTTTCTAACAACCTCTTATATGCGGCTTCCCAGGTTGGTTCATATATGGTTACGACTGCATCTCGCCTTCATCAGGGTGATTCCAGTTCTGACGAGCTCGTTCAGATCAGGGCTGAGCGGGATGATTTCAGGGTCAAGCTGCTGGCGTTAGAAGGGGAGAAGCGTTCGTTCGATGAGCGATATGATCTCCAGGCGGGGGAGAAGGCATCTTTGGAGGATAAGGTCGTTGCTTTGGACGGGTCATGGAGTGTTTCTCTCAGCGTATCGAGGTGATGGTCGAATAGGATAAGGTGTTTAAGGACCAGGTGGATCGCGCTAACAAGCAGTTGGGGGAAGAGGTGGCGAAGAGGAAAAGAGCGTGGATGATGATCTGGGGTGGCTGCTTCAGAAAGGAATTGTCCATATGGTGGACAAGGTGGTTGAAATTTCTGAGTTTGCGATGGAAGTGAAGCGGGTGAAGATGGCGTGCATTGCCGCCGGTGTGGAGAATGGCAAGTACGAGGTGTGGGAATGGGTCATTGTTGGGAACTTTGTCCCTGGGGAAGCAGTTGCTACTGCAGAGCATATTCATGCGATACACGCTGCTGTGAAAGTGTTAAATTCCCGAGGGGTTGTCTGGGTAGACAATTTATCTTGTGTATGTTAAATTCCCCTTCTTTTGGTATGTTACACTATTGTTTAGTGTTGTCCTTGTGTTTGATGGTTTATGTTGGCCATCTTTGGCTTGAATTCTTCCCAGAGGCTAGTGTCGCCCTTTTTGGGGGTGGTTGTTATTTGTTTTGACTAGTTTTAGTGATCCAGAGCATCTGAGCCTGTTGTTTGTCCTTTGGCCCGACCTCGTAGTGTGAGGCTTTGGCTGGATTTTAGGTGCAGCCCCTAGTTGTTCTGCTTCGTTGTAACGTCCCTTTTTTTAGCTAAAGGACTTTGTTTTGGGGCCTTTTTCTATGCCCCGGGCCAAGGAGAGTTGCAGTCTGGCCCTTGTTATCTGAACTAGACCGAGATCGTCACCTTGAAATCTGGGAGTTTATATGTTTCGATGGAAAGGTTATGATCCTTTAAAGCCTCTTGTTTGTCATGGTCACGAGTTGCGGCTCTACTGACCTTGTTTACATGTTTGTTATGGGAAATTATGAGCCCTTGAGGCTTACAATTGAAATTTTCCTCCATGATTTTATTGTTATGCGGAACGGGTGATCAACCCGTTTTTGTTTTTTGTTTGTACAAAATTATATTGATACTTGTTCGTTCTAAATTTTCATTGCATATATATTTTGTATGATGTATTGGAGACACCTACATCGTTTGGGTTGGTATCGCGGGTTTGATAGTGATGCTATTCTACTTCTAGCCCTTGTACTGGCTAGTCGGGGTGTGATTATTTGGTCGGAGTTTGATCACATAGCCCCTTCTCCTAGTTCCTTCCAAGCTAGGACCAATGGCCTGGGCCATGGGGCTCCCAGGTCATCGGGATGAGTTCTTCTTCTTCTTGGTCCTTCTTTCTCTGTGCCTTTCCTGTGCTTACAAGTTCTCTGATGTTTTGCGTTTACGTGACTAGCTGTTTCTGGGACAATCATCTTTCATAAGGCAATTTTCAATCTCTTCCATTCTCTAGTGTCGGTTGTTTGGTTAGTAACTTTAGGAGGTTTCGTGTCATTTGGTGTTGCGTTGTTGCTATTGATTATGTTTTTCGCGGGGTTTTGGACCAGGTGCCTTCCTGGAGAAAACTTATGCCAGTTGCGGGCACTTTCCATTGCTGGCAGCCTCTTCTCTGTGTCTTCTCTTGCAGGGTGGTTCCCTGTCTTTCCCTCCCTGGATTTTTCGATACCTTGGTTTTGTTTTCTGTCAGGCTTCTTCTTCGTACTTTGTGTCTTCACTTCGCGAAGGCGTGTGGGCATGCTTAGTGGTATCCATCCCTTCTTGGTGTTCGTGCTATCAATATGTGATGTATCTGGCGTGGCAATGTTGTTTCTACCACACCCTTTCCTCCCGGGCTACATGCCCGGGGCTTGCGCTCGTTCTTCTTATCGGGGGTGTAGGCGTCGTTCCTCTCGTCTTTGGCCATTTTGGATGGGATGCACACGGTGGCCCACACGGCGATTTCCCGGATTGGCCTTGCTCGTGTGTTAATGGTTGTGACCGTTGCTGAAGCTTTGGTTGTTCTGAACTTCACCGTTCCATGTATTGTCGATGGGATAGACTGTAATTGAGAAAGAGTCAGGCGCCCAAGGATTATATCGTTATCGGATCTTTGCTTGACTACCGAGAACTCGATTATCCTGGTTACTTGTTCCTTACATCAACACTGACTATAGTCAATGGTAGGTTTATGGTGCCGAGTGGCCATAACTTGTATCCAGTGAAGTCAACGAGTGGTGCCTGGGCTGGGGGTTTTAGGTTCCTTCTCCAACATGGAAGGAGTTGCTTGAAACAATGTTCGTACAGGATATCGATGCTGCTACCTTCGTCGACTAATGCTCCCTAGGTCTTATGTTGTATGACTGTGGTGGGGATTATGATTAGATCTACTGGGTCCTAGTCCGGCACATGCAGGTCTGATGGCGAGAAACTAATGTTTAGAGTGTCTCCGGGTGGGATTGCGTCACCTTTGGCCAAACGTTGGTACTTGTCTCGATCCTTAGGTCTCGTTATTGTGAAAATATCATCTTTTTTGATTGGTTGTTTGCTTGCTTCCTTGCGGGTTCTCCCATCTTTTTACTCAGTTTCGAACTTTGACCGTAGGGTCCTTGCTATTTATGTTAGGTCTCCTTTCAATTGCTTGTCCCCTACTTCTCTTTTGATTATTGCGTACTCTCCGGTGTCGTGTGTTTTGCTTTTGTGGTATTCACAGTATTTCCTTTTTTCCTTCTCCGTCCGCTGTGGGGTTTTTTCTAAGGCGTGTACTTCCGACCTATGGCTCCTCGGATCGTCTTTGACGAAAGGGTGGAATCTGCGAGAGGAATGTTTCGAATATCTGCTCTGTTTGTCGTGGGTTCCATCATTGCGCTCTTTATGGTTGTGGCGAAAGTAGGAGTCGGCTGATTCTTGTTTGAGGTAGGTGTTCGCTACAGTCTTTAAATTTGCTTGTTTGCGTTCTTCTCCTTCGATCTGTCGGAGGTATTTCTCGACCCTGTATTTAAGCTCGTCTTTGGATGTCGGTACTGTGCCTTGCATTTTTCTTGACAGGGGGCTTGGGAGTAGCCCCTGGGCGAAGGCGCCTATGACTAAGAATTCTTCATGTCCTGGGACGCTTAAAGTTGCTAAGGTGAACTGGTCATAATATGCTCAGATGGACTCTCCTTCCTTTTGCTAGCATGCCATGATTGAATTGGTATCTCCTTTGACTTTTCTTAACTGCATGAAATTGTAGAGGAATAGATCTCTCAATTGTTTGAAGCTGGAGATGCTTCCCGGTTGTAACGCCTTGAACCATTTGCTGGCATTTCCTGATAGTGTGACCGGGAAGTAAGTGTAGGTGAACCTCTTGTCCATCCAGAGGGATGTCATCATCCATTCATAAGTGTCTATGTGTTCGTTAGGATCTATTATGTCGTTGTATTTTGGTATATTTGGGATCATGGTGGAATGTGGTATTTCGTATTGCAGGAGCTCCTGGCAAAATGCTAAGCTAATGCTTAGTACCGAGTCGTACATGTATGGATATGCAGGCGCTCCACTAGCCATTGCGTGCTGCATGTGATAGGGGCTGGCGTAACCTTGACCATATTCGTAATGGTATCCGTGGTTGTATCCCGACGTTTGCGGCACATACATTTCCTTTGTGGGTATGCATGCACCAGCTGATTTGACTTTGAGCTTGACACCGTTGGTCCCATGGTGTGTGAGTGTGTCCCCTGCACCAGTGTGCCTTGACTTTTGTTGTTTTGTGGCTGTGTTGGGGGGTAAATGCCTTAGTAGTGGGAGTCGGGGAAGAAAGGTGACCTGTAGGCATTGGTTGTATAGCGGATGTGATGGTGCTCGGGCACTAGGTGCTGGTCCCTGCCTGCCGTGTGGATGGCTGCTGGTGAGTTGTTGGTTGTGATTGTGTTTTTGGTGCCCTTTGGGGTTTTGTGGTGGTCGTCGTAGCTGGATGTGCTGTTGCGGCGGGTGTCGGTCGCCATAAACTAGCGATGAACTCCGCCGTGGAGCCAAATGGCGGCGTTCTTGGTGTTTGTACTAGCGGTTGTCCCTCCAGTGTCGACGGATCGCTTCCTTCGAGGGACTGCATTGGCCGAACTGGGCTAGTGTTGTCACCTTCTTGCCGATGCGGTTCTTTGTCCGTCATTTCCGGCTCCTGGTGTTGTTGAATGGGTTTTGCAGGACTAAGTGCAAGCCCGGATGGCGCTAGCTATTGTGATATATCAGCGGCTTAAACCTGTCTCTCTGAGGGTGGAAGTGCAGAGCCTGTGGATCACAATAAAGAAGATAAGACCGCCAGTCGTCGTCCGGGAGGTTGTCCTGGAACGAGGCTCCGACGATCAAGTCAGTGAGGGTCTGAGAGAGAGATGGTTAAGAGCGTAAAGAGAGCGTTGAAGGGTGAAAGATCTTGGTCCCTTCTCTTGGGGAGAAGGGTGCCTTTTTATATACCTGTGGATAGGGGGGACAGATCCCCGACAGTATCTTCTACCTTTCCAGGTTTGGCAAGGGATGATGGCTTTTGATTGGAGGATCGTTGTCCATTGGTGGTTGTTCGCTATTGGTGCAGACTCTGCCAGAAGCAGCATACAGGGCACTACACCTGTCGCTCTGCGGAACTGTTGCTAGTGTTTTGTCTTCAACGTTAACCTTGGCGCTTGGGCACGAAGGAACGGATACGGGGGTCTCGAAGGCGAGGGAGAAGAACTGAGGTTAGTCACACGTTACTCCTTGGTCGATCTGTCTGTCGAAATAGTGGCTCCGTTATCTTTGACGGATTCCCGGTGGGATACATCAACAACAATCGAGACGGATTTCGAGGACGAAATCCAGTTTAAGTGCGGAGAGTTGTAACATCCTGTTTTGAGAAGTTTCTTATTTCGGGATTGTGGACAATAAATGGATCAAGTAAAGGCCTTAGGCTTCTAGGGAATAGGGTTTAGACTCTACTGGATGTTGATAATATTGGTTATGCGATCCAAGCCCTTGGTTTGTGTTGGAGTCAACGGGTAAAATGGGAAAAATGATGTTTTAGACTTCTTGCATGAAATATGGATTTTTGTTCGGAAATTTTTTATTCCAATATATCTAAATAATATTGTGGGGCTCTTCAATACCTTTCCGTGGATATAAAGATCGTTGAAAATGGAGTTGGAACGAAGAAGTTGGAAACATTATCCATTATGGAGCTATTAGGAACCATAAAAATGTGATCTTGGTCCTTCCATCCCTTCCATGCAAGAGTTATGATTTCGTAATGGATTAATAAGTTAGGTTTTACATTTTTGACCTTTTCTAGCCAAGGAAAGTCATAAAGGTGGAAACTTTATGACTTAATTCGATGTTTTTTAGTCTAGATCTGAGATCTGGACAAAAGGTCTTAAGGGATAAAGTGCCTAATGGAATGTTGGGATCAGCCAACGTACGTTAAGCGTACCTGGGAGTACGTTTAGCGTACTAGACTTTAATCGCGTACGCTTGGCGTACACAGCCAGTCTTAGGCTTTGACTTTCGTTACTACCGCTGACCTTTGAATTTTTGACCAAGTTTCACTTTGGGTCAAACTTGAGGATTTTGGACTATTGATTAAGATTTAATTAGATTCTGGTGTTAGTGGGTTCCCGGGTGCAAGTAGTGGACAAAAAGGGATCGTATCGCTGTGTTTCAGAGCTCTTCGATTCATGTGAGTTTTCCTCACTGTACTTGTGGGTCGAAGGCACCAATGCCACCCTATTGGATTTGATATCCTAGTATTTAGGATGTTGCTATGTTGTAGTGTTCGGTTAGATCTGTATCCTGGTATATAGGATGTTGCCATTCTGTAGTGATCTATTAGATCTGTATCCTGGTATATAGGATGTTGCTATGCGATAGTGATATGTAGCCCTGTATGATTACCTGTGTTCATTGAGTATGTGTTAGATTGGTAGATCTGTATGATTATATGTACTTGTTGGTTATTGATTATTATTGTATATGTTGACATGTTATGGTTTCTTGGGTTGAGGTAGTCCTTCTTTGTTCTGAAGGCCAAGATACTCGGGGCGGTCCGGATAGGCTGTTGCAACAGCCCAAAAATCCAGGGTAAAAGTTGTTGGATAAGGTGTCTAAGTCCATAACAATATTTGAGATGCACTTGACCCGATCCGGCATGGTCTATTTGGGTTGCACTTCACCCGAACAATTTGTATGGATAATCTTTTGAGAATAGTATGTTTATGATTTATTAATATATTATAAGGTATAATATATTAATCAGAAATCATATTATTTAATTAGTATTGATCTTAAATTAATTTAGTGATCAAAAGGTGACTAATTAAATATGGGCTCTTGTATTTATATATAGTGTAGGCTAATGCTTATTTAGTATGGGCTAGGCTTGCATGGGAGTCCATGGATGGTTCATGGAGCTTTTAACCCATGGATCCTTGGAAAGGAAGAGTCATGGGTATTAGGGTTTACATGGATGTAACCCTAATCCTCCACACTATATAAAGGAGTCTTTAGCACTTGATTTGGCACTAGTTGTGTGTGAACAAGAGTGGTGGCTAATTTTAAGAGTGTGCATTATTCTCTCAAGAGTTTTCCAAAGTTTGTGGTGATTTGTGATTTCCATTTGAGGTATCCACACTCTTGGTGCTAGGCTCTCAAATTCCAAGCAATCAACCACCACTAAAAGGTATGTCATTCTACTAGTATTTTTATGATTCAAGTTCCCCATGCCATGCTAGTTAGGATGTAAACCTTGGAAATTCTTATT